GGGCCAGCATGTTTTACATGCCTTCAGCCCATCCAAGCCACCACTTCTTGCTCCCTTGCACAGCTTGAATTCCCAGTTTTCTCTTCTAACATTCTGCCAGCCTGATACTGGCATGGAGTTATCAAAGTGCTACTCTCTACAGCTCCCTGAAAGGAGGTTGTAGCCAGGTCAGTCTCTTCTCCCAGGCAGCCAGTGACAGGACAAGAGGAAATGGTCTCAAGCTGCTAGGGCAGGCTTAGGTTGGACATTAGGAGGAATTTCTTGACAGAAAGGGTGATTAGACATTGGAATGGGCTGTCCAGGGAGGTGGTGGAGTCATGGTCCCTGGAGGTGTTTAAGGAAAGACTGGATGTGGCACTCAGTGCCATGGTCTGGTTGGCACGGTGGTGTTTGATCACAGGGTGGACTCAATGACCTCTGAGGTCTTTTCCCACCTAAATGATTCCGTGCTTCTGTAATTCCTTCGTGGTTTGCTCTTACCATTTCTTAAGTTGCAGAAAAAAAGCTCTGCTGATATTTGGAGATAAATCCACAGACAGACTTTGGGAATTATTGGAATGATATGTGTAGCTCTTGCTGGAGTTGAGTGCTTTTAGCATTTCTGAAACCTGGATGCACTCAAATGTGGGTGGGCTCCTTACCTGGGCCTCCTATGGCCAATGCCATCTCCTGTTGAGATGGGGTTGTCCACATCTGGAGATTTTAAACACAGTTCCTGGCTTCCCCTCAGGCTGCAGACTGCTTAATGTGGGGATATGCTTAAAACAAAGGAAACTTGTGCAGCAAATGTATTACCAAATTGAGCTTCCTTTAGGTTTTGTTTCTCAGTTTTACTACTAAAAATGAGAGCCATATTTGAGCCCTCAAATTGTGCTGGTTGCATACAACTGTAGGTAATTGTATGTATTCAAGCTACCTTGAATAAATTTATCTGAAAGCTCTGGTTTAGTCCATTTTCATCCCACACACAGATTTATGCATGTAGATGCCTGTTCATGAAGTTGTGCTGTCTCCCAGTTTGATGGTAAATCCCAGCTTAGGTTGCAAATCAAAATGGAAAGAGCAGTGTTAACTTCTTTTTTGGTGCATTGCCAGCGAGAGTTCTGCATCAGCATTTCATGGTCCAACATTTTCCACGTTTTTCCTTCCCCCCCTTCCCCTATGTGTGAAATTTCAGCAGATTGTTATGCAAAGCAGTTTTGTGTCTCAGTGTGACTGGGAGACAGCTGTTGGGCCTAATGAGGAGTGCGAGCAGCGCAGCATTTCTGGTGATTGAGACCCACGCAGGGAGCAGGATGGTGGAGGCCAGGCACTGGTGTGTGCTGAGGAAGTGCCACGCTGTCAGCTGGAAGTACACGCTCGGCTGCTCCCTGTGACAAGATAAATGAGTTTTGCTGGGCTTTGGCGGAGGCTGAAGCTTTTTTGGAGAATAGTTGTAGCACACCAAAGTCCCTGTGGGACCCACAGTTTGAAGTGTCATAAGACTGCTTCCTCTTTGCTTGTTTCTTTCTTTTTTTTCTTTAATGTCCTACAATACCTGTCATCTTTTTGAGTTATTAAAAATCTAATGTCTTCTAGCGTTCAATTAACATGGGGGCTGATGATCTTTTGTTGACACTTTTTATTAATTTAGCCAAGGGGATGTTAACCAGAGTTTTATCTGAGTGAGAACAAACTGAAGACTAATATAAACAAAAATTAAATCTAGCCACATGAAAATAGAGGGAAAAGGCTTTTAATTTTTGTGGTATGGATGGGGTTATGGAAGCAATACTTTTGAAAGGTTATTAGTTTATTGGCTGATTCTGTTAACTTCTTTCTTCCAACAGACTTTGTGTCCCTTTCTTCTCACCATTCCCCTTTAGTTGGACTGAAATCCTGGTTTAGCTTATATGTAGGAAGTGGCTTTTCTTCTTCTATTTTGTTTTAATTAAACAAAACCAAATAAACACAAAACAAAACAAAAAGCTGAGATGCATCTGTCATATTAAGAGATGCCTCAGTTGGAGTACCAGAGGAGACAGAATGTAATTTGTGCTGCATAAGATCTGTGAGTGTAGCACTTGCTCATGTTTCAGATCTGTAGTGTTGAGCGTACTTTTGAATTTAAATGCATGTGATTTTTTTAAAATATTAATTCATTATGTACTACTTTAAAGTAAAAAAGAAAAAAAAAAAACCAAAAAAACACTTTGTCTTTACTCTGATGAATGAAGTGCTGATAACCCTCCCCAGAATTGTCAGGTTTGTGGGAATGATGATACTGTTTTGGCCTTTCTAGACTTAAAACTTCAAGCCCTGCAATCCTATTTGGAAAAGGAGATGTCTTTGACAATTGAATTGAGTGTTTCTCTTAGAAGAGTCGTGCTTCATTTTTGTAAAAGCACAGGGAATGTTAGACAGACATCCATATACTGTCTGCTTTGGAACTGGGACCAAAATTTTTGGTCATAAACACTGGGTCCAGTGAGAAGTGTTTTTATATTTAGCCATTAAATTCAAAGCTCCTTATGTAAAATATTGTTTTCATAGTCCCATGTGCTTGCAGATAGTGCACATCCCAACCTGCAGGGCCTTGCAGGGCTGAGCTGAGGGTGAATGGAGGGCTCAGACCACTAAGCACCTTTAAAGTTGTCACTAAAAAGAGACCAGCAGCTTTCCCTTTGCCTTTCTATCTCTTGCCCTATTTCCAGAGAGCTACAGAAGAATTTAAGTGCATTTTTATTTTGCAAACTTTTGCTTGGTGTACCCAGTAATATCTGAACAGTTAAGCTGGAAAGGATTTTGTTATCTTTTGAGAGTCTTTGGAGGAGCAGGAAGGATTGAGCTAACCTGGGGTTGGCATTCTGTTTTCCTGGCAATAGTTTTGAATGTTTTCATTTAAAAATGATAAATCTGGGGATTAGAGAACCTTATGTGGTCAAAGAAACTTAACCATTTTTGAAAATGATAAATGATAAAGCAAAACCAATATGAGATCAAAGAAGCTGGAAAGCTCTTTAAAGTTTTGAAAAAAGCACCCAAAAGTGGAAGGTTATTTTAAGACAGTTTCCCAATGTATTCCAGCTGTAATTGGAGTAAAATGTATGATGGAGAAAGAGATCAGATTTGTTTGTTGGCAGCAGAATACTAAAGCACAGTATATTCATTCACCTGGAGATTTTCTATGACTTGAATTCTTTATGCTGTTGTGTGCTAGGAAGTCTCCCAATGTGTGTGGAAATTATGGAGATTGAATAGAAAACTTTAAACTTCTACACTTTGCTTCAAATGTATTGCAGCAGTATAGAGATTAATAAAAGCCTGATTTTTTTTTTTCTGAGCTTCTTTGTAGAGAACTAGTGAGAAGTGCAGGTGTTGGTAAATTTAAAGGAGTTTGGGCTGGTAGGAGACAAGTTTGGTGGTAAGAAGATGCCAGCTGCATTGTGCAGCAGCTTGACTGCACGAGTGAGTTTTCTTCCCAAATGAGATGGTGCCTGATGAAAGTGACTCAGCAGTTGTGGCCTTCATGTATGTTTTAACTTTTTGACTTTTTGTTCACAAAGTCCAGAAGATTCTTCGAAGACCTCTTGGTTCTTTCTGTAATTATCTCCCTGGTGGCTTAGCTGCACTCTAATAATGTGTTAGGAAACTTGGTATCATGAAAAAAGTGGGCCTTCATCCTAATTAAAACTTAATTTGGTGTCAATTTAAATTAAGAGGCTTGCATAAACTGGTCCATTGTGACCTGGCTTGTGCTAATCTTAATCAGCAGCTTGGATAGGACATGAATTCAAATTTCTGCAGAACAACTAAAGTGACAGTAACAACTGACAACTTAAATTAAAATTACTAAGTTCTAAGAAATTGATGTGCATGACCCAAGTTACAAGATAGGTCATTAAATCAAATCTGTAGAAACAAAATTGAGAAGCCTTCCCTAAAAATGCTTTGTTAGTACATTATGTGGGCAGAAAATAACTGGCTTTGAGTTGGGAGTTCACACAATTACAATGAAAATTGTAGTATAAAAGCTTTTAATTGGTTAATATGAAATAAAGGTAAAGTATTTAAAAATAGTTATAGAATCATCCTGAAAATTGTTTGTTTGAGCCCAATATATTGATGACATACTGTTATCTGAGGCTGTAAAATATAAAGATAATAATATTCTAAAATACAATTCTTTATAAAATAGCTACTGGAAGTAATATGTTGGACTTTCAATTGCTAGAAATATTCTCATGAGTCTTTCTCTGACTGCCCTTGTGCATTTCTAGGCATTCTAGGTAAAATTTGAAGAACTGTATGCTTGTCCTTCTTTCTGCTACTTGCCATTTTTTATCTGACTCTCAGACTTCAGCTGCTTGTAAAACAGGACTAGAAATCACCATTGGAGATTGTTAATTGCTGTAGCTATTGGTAGTGGAACTACATTGGAGACTCTGTGTGTGGATTACAGCATGTTCCTGTGTGTGTACAGAACAGCTTTAGCTGCATCTCAGGTGTTTGGGATCTCCTCAGTTTCTGTGCAGTGAATGAAAATGTCTGGGATAGTTCTACTGAAATCTTGGGTGGAAAGAAAAGCTTGGTTACTGATCTCAAATAACTTAAGAAGATTTGTACTCTGTGCTACTAATTCTGTTCGGGTTGTGTGATAAACCTGCAGAACTTCAAAAGTGAATTCAGGCCCAAGACTGGGCCTCTTTAGCTCATGTCAGAATGAGTGGAATATGAAAGATGCCTCCAGAGTGAGTCTCTACTGTTGGGCTGCTTCTCTTAGCACTCAGGCCACTCAAGCCCTGTTCACCTTGAGTGTCATAGCTTCTTGTAAGAATATTTTTTAATTCAAACCTAACTACTTGGAATTTTAAAATTTCAGATTACTCTGCTTAAAAAAAAAAGGCAAGCTACATGTGCTAAAGGAAGCACGGGAGCAGAAAATAAAACTTTTAATCAGATGCTAGCTTAATAAAGAAGTTTAGAGTTTGACATCTTTGTCTTTACTCCTGGTTGTTTAGCACTGTGACATCTGCAGTTTTCACTGTGGGAGACAACGTTGTTTCTGGTAGTGATGACCGTACAGTAAAAGTCTGGGATTTGAAAAACATGAGGAGTCCTATTGCAACCATCCGCACAGATTCTGCAGTCAACAGGTGAGCAGATCTCTGGGTTACTGCTTTGCTTAATTCATGCTTTCTTAATGAATTCTTAATTACTTTCACATGTGGGAATGGTTTAAAGCTGTGCCACAGAGATTTAGACTGGGCATTTCTTTCCTGAGAGGGTGGTCAAATCCTGGAACAGGTTTCCTGGAGAGGTGGTTGATACACCAAGCCTTCCAGTATTTAAGAAGTATTTGGACAATACCCTTAATAACCTGCTTTAAGCTTTGGTCAGGCATTAACTGGTCAGGTAGTTGGACTGGATGATTGTTGCAGGCACCTTTCAACTGAAATAGTCTATTCTATTAATTCACTAAATATACATTTATTTTTTGTCCCTGAAATTAAACTTGAGATTTATAGAAATTTGAAATGGTTCTATAAAGTGCAGGTGTGATCAACATTAATTTTTAGTAAGTACATTGCTTTTAAGAAATTTTCTATAAGAAAATACAGATGTTAAGGCTATTTGAGGATCTAGTACAATGGAAAATTGTTGGGAAGATAAAAGTTTGACAAGAAAGTCTCATAGCTATGTATGCTTGGCAGAAAGATTTTTAAATGTAGAGTCTGATGAAGGAATAGAGATGGAAGCAAGTTTGGATATAGAAGAAAAGAATTGCTGAGCCAGTCTTACTGGATAACCAAGAAGGCAAAGGGTGTGTTAGTTAGAAGGGATTTTTATGACTTAGAGCAAAGGATAAACCCACCTCAAACAAGAAGATGTTTTTACCAAGCAGAAAGACAGCACAGGCAAACAAGTCAGCAAAGTTGCAAGTAGGAAAAAAGTCTCAGAATTTTCCACTGCAAGAAAACTGAAAAACAACTTCTAGCTTAAACTGTAATGAATATGGTAATTATGGTAGTTATGATAGGCTATAGATAATAGTTAAGGTATAGATTGGTTCTGCTGTATTAAGATGCTCAGCAAAGAAAAGTATATAATGCAATGTAACCAAAACCAAGGGGTCTCCAGGCCTGCCTGCAGCTGGAGCTGACAGCTGTAGGCACAGCCTCTGTCACCCACCACCCTGGGCTGCTGTAACATCTTGGATGGAATAAACTGCACTTTGGAGAGCTGCCTGGAGTCCCACATCCCTCATTTCAGCTCTTACAAAAAATACCTCAATGCTTCAATATTTTTTTTCTCTTTCCGTTTGTGAATTCTAGCCAGGAAAAATTCAGCTGCATCCCTTCCCATGAGGTTAAATTTGTGCTGTCAGTTTCTGCTTGCCAGGCCTGTTGTTTGCTCCCCAGCCTCCTTTGTCCCTTCTCTGCAGGATTAACGTGTGTGTTGGCCAGAGGATCATCGCCCTTCCCCACGACAACCGGCAGGTGCGGCTGTTCGACATGTCCGGGGTGCGGCTGGCGCGGCTGCCCCGCAGCAACAGACAGGTACCTGCAGGGCTGCCCTCCCTGCCTCTGGCCTTCCTCAGGCAGGGTTCAATGGCATTTGGTCTGTCTGCCTTACAGCTGAACAAATGCTGAGTGGCCTGGTCTGAATAAATATGCTGTTAGTTATTCAAAATAACCGACGTGCCAATGTGAAACATTTTGAACGTTTTTATTGGAGTTGGAGATGGTGTTTCAAGTGAATTTTATCATGATGTTTTCCCTTGCTAAAGTGCAACACAGATCTGCCTTCTCTATGAAATGGAATAAGTGTGTAAGAGCATTGCTGATGTGTTTTAATGTCTTGATGTGAATATGTCAGAAAAATGGCTCACTATGAGGTTTAATGGTGATTTTCTCATGGTGATTTTTCTTTTTAAATTACACAATATCTAATTGGTTTATATATTCCAAGCTGGATGGGGCTCTGAGTGACCAGGTGTACTGGAAAGCATCCCTGCCCATGCCAGGAAGGTTGGAACCAGATGATCTTTAAGGTCCCTTCCAACCCAAACCATTCTGTGATTCCATGACATAGAGACATAGAGGGAAAACATGAGGGTCAGTTTTGTGAGCTCACCTTTTATGACTTGGTGATAAATTTTAATTTTTTTCTTCTATGCTTATTCACGTACATTCTAGATACATCCTACCATGTAATAAACCATCCTTGCTGCAGCCATCAGGTTTTGTGCATTCATGGCACTATTTGGCATGGCAGGCATCACTAATGGAGCAAATCAGACTAAGTAAAATTAATTGGATTATGTCACATAAATAGGCCTTTTTGGGGGTTGATTCAGCAGTTCTTGATAGAATTTAGGAAGGACTTCTAAGACTTACTTAATCTCTTTCAGATTTTTTTTCTAATTTAGGTAGGTTTTTTTAATTTATTAATTACAGTCTTGAGGGGATTTTTTTGTGTATGTGTGCACATCTTCCTTTTTTCTTTAGTAGTTTCATTCAAGCTGACACTACTGAAATAATGACTTTATTTATTTATTTTTTAACCTGAATGTTGGTCAGAACCCTATTTTGGACATTTTTATTGCTATTGAACTATTTTCATCAGTATGACATTCTTCCTGCTGCAGTATCATCCCTCCTGAATTATGGATGATATGGACACTTAGTCTTGCAGGCTTGTTACAAAGTAGTTGCCAGCAAGTAGTTCCTTATTTTAAGACTGCTTTTATAATTAAAAATGCTAAAATCAAAATTTGATTTGCTTTTGTAAAGAAAATGTAATGAAAAAGGCCTATTTAACTAGATAGCAAACAGACCTTGGAAAACTGAAAAAAATTTGATGCGCCTTTTGCATCTGTCCTTATGGATGCAGTGCTGGTGCTGAGGAGTCACATCATTCTGAAGACTTTCAGCTTACAGATGCAGGTAGCAGTGACCTTTAGGATTCTCAGGGCTGTTTGCAGAGAGTGGGCTGAGGATTGGCAGGGTTGAGCTGCAGTGGGCTGTTCCCAGCAGTCCCAGTCCGTGTCAGTAACGGCGCTGTCTCCCTCCCTCCCTCCCTCCCGCGCGGTGGCAGGGGCACAGGAGGATGGTTTGCTGCTGTGCCTGGTGTGAGGACCATCCCATCTGCAACCTCTTCACGTGTGGGTTTGACCGCCAGGCCATCGGCTGGAACATCAACATCCCTGCTTTGCTACAGGAGAAGTGAAATGCTGGGAGTTTCTGCGTTTGTGTCGCCGTGGACTTCTACACCCGGGCAGACTTTTCTGAACACTGGTCTGCTGTCGCTGTAACAGCTCTTCCCTGAGGGGAGACTTGAGCAAGTGTTGTTCTTGTTACCACATTGTGCACAGTTTGCATGGGTTGTACAGAAAAATGTGATTTTTTAAAAATTAGTTTGTCTTGTGTATGAAATTTTATATTTTGCCATCCACTGGTCAATATGTTCACTGTTGCATAGAGCACATAAATGTTCATAAGTTATTTAGCATTTAATAGTTACACAGTAGGGCATTACATTTGTGACATAAATGTGAAACTTATGTAATTACTGTAGAGAGTGTATACAGTCTGTTACGTTTTTCCATGACTCTACATATCTGCCTTGTGTTAAAAGGAATCTGCAGGGCTAAAACTTTGAAATGAAGTGTGAATTTCGCTAGTTGTATGATTGTAAACATTTTCCTGTTTGCATCTGATTTAAATACTTTTTTTAGTGCTGCCATATAGTGCAACTTCAACTCCATTTTTACTCTAGTTACTAGAGAAATAGTAGATTTGAGAAGGAAAATGCAAGAAACTTGTAGTGGGTACAGACTGCCAGGTTTATTTGTAATCTTTTTTGTACTTTTTATTTTGAAAAAAGAAAAAGATTCATTCTGCCCTTCTTATATAAAGTGATTCTGAAACCTCATCACATTTCATATTAGCAAAAATCCAGGATATTATGATTCTAATCACTGAAATCTAGTCAAGCAAATTCTGAAGCACTTTAGTTTATAGCTATTGTTATAAACCATTTATGAAAGTTTGACTTTACCAGTGAATGTTAGCTAACCTTTGTGAGAAGGATTAATTCCTTTTGGTTATCTGCCCAGAAAGGAAATAGTTTATTTGGGGGTTGATGATTTTGTTTATGTACCTACAGTGAGCATACTTTTAATTGTGTTCACTTCCCATATTTTTATTTTGAGCCAGCAATACAAAGTAAATGAGTACTACCTCAAAAATGAATGTTGGTCAAGATGCATCAAATCTCTCTGTAGCCTAGAAAAAAGCACCTTTGGTCTGTGGCTGAAGTACTATCTCTGACAGGAGAGGAAAGACAATCATACTACATGTGATCCTTAAGGTAGTTAACACATAAAGCTAGTGGAGCAATACACTGTCAGCATCATGTGTCACCCAGCCATGACAGGGGCACTGCAGTCTCTGTCCTGTTCCAAAAGGGGGCAATTAGCATAGCTCTCCCTTCTTTCTCCCAAATGATCTTTGGTTTTGCTCCTCACTGTGTTTAGGTGTTTTGCACTGGCAGTGGGGTGTTACTCTGCAGCTGCAGTAAATGCAGGTGGCAGCTGGTGTCTTGGAAGGAATGGAAGGGGCTGCTTCAGACAGACACTTGCTTTTGGCTGAAGGGAGATGCTGTCCCAACTGTCTGACATATCACAGTGTAAGATGAAGGGTGAAGGTAAGGAAGGGTGCACTCTGACAGTGGGAATCTTGGGGTTCATGGTGGCTTGGCAGATGTATTCAGAGGTTTTTATCTCATCATCATGATTCTGTGCAACTACAGCTGTGCTCATGTCCTCTGCATCACTGTTTGTAATGACATTAAGACATGTGTTAGCTGGTTCTCCTGTTAACTAACATTTGTGTGGGATGGGATGGGATAATGAATGCATCAGTGAGGAATGGAAGGGAAATGGGGGTCCTAAACATTGTTTTGGACTGTAACATTAAGGAAACACAAAATATTTAATGGAGAATATATGTAGTGTCTTTGTCATGTCACATGTCATCAGAGTGGTTTGATCCCACGTTTTTTTCTGTTGTGGGGTTTGGGTTTTTTTCTTGAGGTGCAAGGTGGACAACTGCACTGGAGTAATATTAAATACTCAAACTAGTGAGGTTGCAGAAAGCAGCTGCAGAGTTTTGAGTGGTAAGAGTTAAATGATAGTGACAATGTTTATTTTCACTTTTTTTTCTTTTTCTCCTGGGTTTTTTGCTCTGGGTTAAAACCATTTGATGTTGGGTTACAGGTTTTATTCCTTAAGAAAACAAGACTCACTTTCTTTTAGTTGGTAACAGAGAGAACTTTACAAAGGTTTATGCTGTTTTTTTAAAAAAGAGAAAAGTGTCTGGCCTGCACAAACAGTTTCTCCAGCATGGCCTGCATGTAGGATCTGGACAATGGCTCTCCTTTATTACCTGAGGCAGAGGAGAGGGTCACTGGTTTTGGTCCTGCTAAACTAAAGTGTCTAAGCTTCTCTCATACATATGTAGTACAGAACCACTGGACTCTATGCAGTTTAATCATCATTGCTGCAAACTTTTTATATCACCAGAGGGGCCATCCGCTGGCACCAGAATGGGTGAAACATTACATGGTTTCATTTTGAAAAGAATCAACCAAACAAGGTGCTAGAGCCACGTTCTTATGAGCAGGCTAATACTTAAATCAGCTGAACACTGAACTATCACTTAGTTTAGTTTTCTATACTGTAGTGAAGGGTAAGCCAAACTGCCATTCCTCTTGAAGCTAAACATATGAGCAGGGGTAGTGAATATACTACATTGACTAAAACATTTCATGGCTCTAAATGTTCTAAAGAGTGTTTTTTCAGCACTAACAATGTCCAGCATTTCATTAAATGGAGCAGAGTTGCAGTTACAGTTTCAGTATTGTGCAGAATTTCACAGAAAACTCATCACCAGGCAAAACCAAGCTTCTGTGTCTTTCTCTCAAGCAATGCACAGCAATTTTCACAAAGTTTGTGTATACTTTACAATCAGAAAGATCTGGAATGAAACATCTTATTTGTTGCCTAAATCTGTGAAAACTACCTTTTGGGGAAAAGAATTTATAAGTTATGTGGAACCACTTTTTATTATTCTGCTAATTTGTTTTTAGATGTAAAATGTTTTTCTTCATTACAATTCAAAATGCATTAAAACATTCAACAATTTTTTTTTTGCAATTTGCTGTTTTTCTGTGTTGCATTAAGGTTACTGTTGATGTCAATATTTCAATTTTTTGTAGTCAGAGGATCTCCCTATTCACTTTCCACTCTTCTACTAAAAAAGTTTGTTTCTAAGGCATTGATGAGCACAGTTTGGAAGAGAAGGCCAAGTCTGTTTATTACAGTAGGTTTCCTGTAGCACTAATGGTCACACTGCCAGTAAAGGGTGTTCAGGACTGCCTTTGTACTGTCTTTTCCCATTCTGTATGGAGAAAAATTGTAATTGCATATTGTTATGCAGAAATTTCCATGACTTTTCACCCCACGTTACAAACTTGATATTTTAAAATGAAATCTAAACTAATTTTTTAATGTTTAGAATACAGTGAAAGTATTGCAAAACAACTCTGATGAGGAGAACCCACCCTCAGTTTTTCTGTAGGTTAAAGGCTGGTTGCTTTTTGCACCCATGTTCAAACCAAAGCTGTGTAGTGTTGGAGTAAAACCCAAAGCACTTGGTGTTGTAGAAAGCCTTGGGTTTCAGAAGCCAAGGCAGAGTTTTGACTGATACCTGAGTGCACCTTACTCTCCTTCAATGTGCTTTGGATCTCTCATTTGGGATTAATCACAGTTGCTGGTGAAATGGACCAAAAATAAGAGACCAGAGTTCCAAGGTAGCACAACTGACATAAGGGCTGGGTTGAGATAGAATGCCAAACCCTGGGCTTCAGTTGATTTTAGCTGAGGGCTTTCAAATCAGGCTTTACTGCCAACTGACTTAAACTTAGTATTTCTAGTATCATTTTAAACAGCTGAGTGAATATCATGTAGAACTAGTGGTTTCAGGAGTCTGTCTGTGTTTAAACCTGAAGATGAGCTGCAGGAGAACCACTCTGTCATGCACCATAGTTTGCTCTTTAGACCGGCATAGAAATTTTATTTAATGCTCTGTTGAGACCTGAGTATGTCACTGAAAAATTACTCAGCCTTGTGATATTTTATTTTTAAGGAGTGTTGTTACCTTTTCTAATTCCCACAGGTCAGTTTTCTGAACATAAGTAATTTGCAGGAGCTTACAGAGGAAATCCTGTTTAATTCAAACAGTAAATCCTGGTCAAAACTTAGCATTAACTGGGAGAGGTGTTCTACTGGAGCAGTGTGGGATTTTGTAGATGTGCTGCTTATCAATGTCCTCCAAGTGAGAATATTCAGTACTACCTCAAGGGGCTGTTTCTCAGAGGTTTAGGGTTGAGGCTGGTGGGTGTTTGCAGTGTTGAACCCAAGTTCCTGAATTTGCAGCTTGGATGTCTCATACAGGTTTGGGGAGTTTCTGGAATGGTTCAGCATGCCATGTAGAAGTTGGAATTCAAGCATTCAGACTTAGTCTAGGAAAATGGAAATGGTGCAAAGTGTCAGTGGTGGCATGTACAATAGAAGAGAGTTATTGTAGAAAAAACCCCAAAGTTCTGCCTCTGCCTTGAAAATGGAAGCCTCTGTTTTGAAAATGGAAGGTTCAGCCTGGCTGGTGACTGCTGTGCAGTGGAATGACACCATTGCATGTTAATGGTATTGCTTGACTCTGCTTGAAGCTTCATTTCCATTTGTTGGAAACTGTTACAGTTCTGCCTCCTTCCACTGAAACTTGTCACATTTGGCATTTGTTTAAGTTTAACATTAATTTTGTGTAGTTCCTCTCCCACTTGGATTTGTGGTATTTCTCTTCTCCCTAGGGCAGAACAAATTTAGTTACATCTTTATTTCAAAGCCCCATACCAATGAAAAAAGGCCATCCAGCTGTCCTGTGCTGGGAGGAGAGAATTGACTGAACTCCATGTGCACTTCTTCATCTTCATGATTTTTTTAAATTATTCAGGTGAAAATTTTTAGTAACGGAAGTTGCCTGAAGGCTGTATGCATTTATGGTCTGGGGTTAATGAAGGCTGAATCAAGTCTGTGCACCTTAACTGCTCAGAGAAAATAGATTTGTAGTGATGTTGTAGGTGACTTAAGGCTCTGGAAAGGAGCATACAGTGATTTCAAGTGCTGCAAAAGAGTTATGGAGAAAGACTTTCCTGTAGTTTGGAGCTTCTGTGCTGTATGCAAGAGTGGTGACCTAGCATTTGAGAAGGAATTAAGATCATTTGAGAAACATAGAGGCACATCTGTGGTGAAAGTGTTTAGACTGTAGATGAGGAACACAGAGGAAGAATAATGAAGGGGAATGAGAAACTGGAATAAAATTGGGACAGCTGTGGGAGGTAGGCAGAAAGAAAATGCAAAGTGGTTCATAGGAGTGCATGTCTGAAAGGTGGAAGATATTGGTCAGCTGGGGATAAACTGCTGGGAAGTCAGTGTCTGGTGAATGCCCCTGCCTTAGTGAGGAGAAGGGAAAGCAGAGATGGGAGCAGGGCAGGGCCAGCCTGCAAAGGGAAAAACAGCAGGAGTGAGCTCAGGGGAAGCATGGATATTGGGATGTGCTTATGGCTAGAGCCTAGAATGGAAACAACTGGAAGGTAAGATTCCTTTGCGTTTTTTAAATCAGTGTTCTTGGTTTCTATGTCCTTGATTTTGGGGGAAAAGCTTATTGCATGTATAGAGACAAATTCATTTGCATACATTGAATTTTCCATTTCAAGTGTTGCAATGGTGCAGAGATCACTCAACAGCTGATGCATTGCTAGGATTACAAATTACATGGATTTGTAATCTTAGCAGAGAAGTGCAGATGTTACATACAAACTCCAGGTATGGCAGCAGGGCATGAGGTTAATCAGAAGTCACTCCCAGACTGGAAATTTCCTGAGTGAATAGTTGATTTGGAAGAAGAAGATGATATTTTGCACAATCCCTTTGAGAATATTTTGCCAGTCCAGAAAGAATCAGAGTGCTTTTGGTTGGAAGGGACCTTTAAAGGCCACCTAGTCCAACCATCCTGCAATAAGCAGGGACATCTCCAGCTAGACCAGGTTGCTCAGAGCCCTGTCCAACCTGACCTTGAATGTTTCCAGAGATGGGGCATCCAACACCTCCCTGGGCATCCTGTGAAACACAGGCACAAGTGAAGTTTTATAAAAAGCTTCTTCCTTATATCTAGTCTAAGTTGACCCTCTTTTACTTAAGTTGACCCCTTGCCCTATCACAACAGGCTCTTCTAAAAATTTTGTTTCCAACTTTCTTAGAGACCCCATTCAAGCACTGGAAGGTTCAGTATTTTAGGCCTGAACTGAATTGACTAGGGAATCTCTCTAAGTAAACCATCCAAACATAGAGATTGCATCAGGGAGATACTGCTGTGTTTTCAGTAGTGCCTTAGTTCTGGGAAAGGCAGAACTGGCCTTTCCTTCAAATTTTCACCTTGTTGATCTGTCAAAATTTGACAGTCTCGTTCACAAATCCAAGTGAAAATATGTATACATTTTGACTTCAGTGATCAAAAGTCTGACTCCAGTTGGCCCCACTGATTTTGGTCAAAGTATAAATCTTAAATACAGACAGGATCAGTCTTACACAGAGGTGGCATTTTGACAGCAAGGAAAACAACTGTCTGACTTCATCAAATAATGTCATGCACTTATGTGGGTTTAGCATTTAATAATTTTAATGATTTTTTAATACTTTAATGATTTTTTAAAGCATGTTATTCCTTAATGTGCTTAATTTGGATAAAGGCAGAAATCTCAATTTTGTTAGTTTTTTTTTTAAACCTTATATAAATCTTTGCTATGTCACTGAGATCAGCCTTGTACAGACACGAAACTGAACCTGAGTATTTTGTGGAGCAGTGTGTACTCTGTGATGTCTGAGCATATAGAAAGGTGAGTAATCCTAACGACAAGAAAGAGTGAAATCTGACACACCACACCACAAACACCACTGAAATCAGGTTGATGGTGTAATAAAAACTTGAAGAACAGTATTAAGCATTAGAAGGGAGAGACATGAAGGAAAGGCAAAACTTTTCAGCAGCACTTT